TATAACCCAGCAATTCCATTCCTAGGTATATAACAAGAGAAATAAAAACAAATGTCCACATAAAAGCTTGTACATGAAAGTCCATTACAGCATTATTGAAAAGAGCCAAACAGTGGAAACAACCCACATGCCTACCAACTGATAAACTAAAGGTGATAAGCCATATAATAGAATATCACTCACCAATAAAAAGAAATGAAGTACTGATAGGTGCTACAACATGACTGAACCTTGAAGCAGTATGTTAATTGAAAGTCAGTCATAAAAGACCACATATTATATAATCCCATATATACATAAATTTCCAGAACAGACAAATTTATTTAGGCAGTCAATAGATTAGTGGTTCCCTAGCGCTAGAAGGGATTAGGGGAAGAGGAGTGAGGTATGGCTCCAGGGTATAAAGTCTCTTTTAGGGGTTATGAAAATATTTCTTTAATTGGTTATGATGATAACTGTACAACTATGAATTTAACAAAAGCCAATGAATTGTATATGTTGAAAGGGTGAATTATATCTCAATATAATTGTTTAAAAACGGTTTTTTTTTTTAAGGGGGGGAGTTTTTTAGTAAATATTTTAAAAAGCTGGCCAACCAAAAGTAGTATCTATACAAATACATAATTTTAATAATTTTAGCTTTAAGTTAGGAAAAAATAACAAAATAATTACCCTTTCTATTGAAGACAACTCTTGAACTAATCCATCACATTTTCTGTTTGCTTCTTCGAAGAGAGTTTTATACTTTTCTATTTGAGACTGTTGCATATTAATTGTTCGCTGCTGTCTCAAACAATCTTCTTCACAGTTTTTTACTTGAGACTTTAAATCCTGAATTTCATCTTCCTACAGTTACGAAAGTATAGATTATGTGAAAAAAATACACAAGATTGGGTATCAAAACAAAGCAGAAAACAAAAGCTTTATATGTTCTTTGATGAGACATTTATTACTTTTCATAAAACAAATTACCTTTTCATCTTCAACAATGTAAGTCAGACAATCTGTTTGCACTTAAGCAAACAATTATACTTCTAAGTCTAATACAGAGAATTCTAATTGTAACAAGTATCCAAAATTCTTCTGTGAAGAATTCACTGTGAAAATTCAACATTTCAGAATAAAGTTCAATATTTATTAAAATATAATTTTTAATTCAAAATTAATTCAAAACTATGAACTATATCTAAATCTCTTCCAAAAATGCAACTGAAATTGTTCCTAAAGTGTATTTCAATATTATAGCATTTGAATTTTTAAAAACTTACCTTTTTATTGCATTCACACACAACATTGTCCAATTCCTCCTGCATAACCCGGAGTTTGGCTTTTAGAAACCTGATCTGAGCTTCTGTAGATTTAAATAATTTTATTACTGTCTTTGCTGAATATAAGAAATCATCAATTTTAAGACAGACCATTATTTTATGAAGAAAAAAAGCACTCAAGATGGGGAGTCTACTAGGAGTCCCTGTTAGGAGACACAAAGACACTAAACACTCACTCCTAAGGTAAAGATAAATAAAAAATAAAATTTGCCCAACAGAAAGGAATAGGCAGGAACTTATTCATATCTTAAAACTGGAAATGAATAAAGAAAGAGAATGGGAGAATAAAAAAATCCTTTGCAGAAAATCTGAACCACAAGCCAGTATTCATTCAAGATTGCAGACTGAATTCATACTCATGAATGTGGTCCAAAATAGAACAGACAGAATTTACAGTGGTCTCAGGTCAGTAATTGGCAGAAACAAACACAAATCCTCTCTAGCAAAAGTCAGTTTTAAGCCCAGCCATTGTAAATGTAAAATATGACTGATCGTAACATACATCCCAATTTCTGATAAGTTAAAATGTAGTATATGTAGCTTAGAAATACACTAATACTATCTTTCTCACACAAACCCTCATTAAGATCTACCTTTATTACTTCATTGCTAGCAAAAGTAGTAATATCGACAGTAATTTTTTATTTTTGAGACAGAGTCTTATTTTATTGCCCTAGGTAGAGTGCTGTCGTGTCACAGCTCACAGCAACATCAAACTCCTGAGTTCAAGTGATCTTCTTGCCTTAGCACCTGAGTAGCTGGGACTACATGCATCAGCCACAACACCCAGCTAGTTTTTTCTCTTTTTAGTGGGAGTGATG